GCCGCTATCCCCAGATACACCCGAGCCTTATATGAGGCGGATTGGCTGCAACCAATTCGAATGATCTCTGTCTCGTGCACGGCCTCGCGCACGTCCGCGCCCAGAGCCCGCTCGGCGAACGCCTCCGCGCCCGCCGCGCTGGCCGCCTCGTGATTGACGACCAGCCAGCGCAAGCCCTTCTCGCGCGCAGCCGTGAGCTGCGGCTGGGGGGCGCAGAGACGCGCTGCGTCGATGTGGCCTCTCGAGTCTGCGATCGTCTTCACCGTCGTCGGTGCTTTGGCGATCGCGCGACGCAAGAACGCGCTGGCGCGCGACCCGCCAACCGACGCGCATCGCATCGAACCCAGCGGGGGGCAACGCCCCCCGCTGAGTCACGAGAGGCGCTCGTTGGCCTTGCACGCCTCGCCCAGCTGGGGCCCGCGCGGCGGCGCCTCGAAGGCCGCCGCGCTCGCCGTCTTCGAGAAAGTAACCCCCTGGGCGCATATCTTCGAGAACGGGCGGGCACCCTTGCGCCGGGACCTGTCGGCGGGGGTTCAGGGCCGCCATGGGGGCGCGCAGGCCGGGGTCGCGCGACGAAGCAACAATCTCAATCGTGAGACAACCAGACAAGAGAACGGAAACCAGCGCGGCTCCGAAGCCTGGCCCGCCCACCGGACCCCTCGTTTCCGCGCCCTCGGACCCCCCCCGCCGAGAGGCTTCCCCCCGCCCGCAGCGGGAAGGGAATGCGCGTCTCCATGCCCCACTTCGCGACGATGGAGCTCGACGGGAAGATGGCGACGCGGTGCTCCCACGCGTCGGGGCCCTTCTGACCACCTGCGGCAGCGCGTCTTGCTCGCGCGCCCCCAGTGGCTTCCGAAGGCTGTGCCCTTGGGCTCGTTCACTTGCGCCGCCACTGCGCAGAAAACCCACTCCTTCGGCTTGAGGAGGCCGTCTTGCGCTGCGGGCACACGTATATGACGTGGTATTTCCACCGAAGGCGATCGCGAAATCTGCTGCGTATCCCAAACGCTCGTCCTGTAGGATAGCCTCGTAGATCCCTCAACTGGACGTTCGGGACCACTGGACCGTTTTTTGCTTCGCGAGCTCTGCCACCATGGCGTGTTCGATGGCCTGCTGCGACAGCGACTCCTTCTTCTGCTTGTCACTCTGTTTGAACCATGTGGCCTTCATGCTATCTGACCCTAGCCTGAGCCAGAAATTCGCGTCGCTGTGCTGATTGCATACGGAGCACCACCGAACGCCCCATTGGCTGCACTCACACGCTTCGTGACCCCATGGGGAGCTCCATCCAAGGCGCCACTGGCCACGTACGCGTGGCACCACCGCGTCCACTTCGGCACACCCCTCACACGCTTCATGGTCCCATAGGGAGCTACACCTAAGCCCCACTGGCCATGTTCGCATGTGGCCGCCCCACCAATCTCACCACACCATGCGCGCGCTTCGTGGTCCCACACAGAGCTCCACCTAAAGCCTTGGTGGCCATGTTCGCACGTGGCCGCCCCACCCATGCCGGCACACACCTCGCACGCTTCGTGGCCCCGCAAACAAAGACCTCCACCGAAGGCCCCGGTGGCCACGTTCGCATGTGGTCACCGCACCCATGTCGGCACACCCCTCACACGATTCGTGGCCCCACAGGGAGGTACACCTCAGACCTCAATGGCTATGTTCGCACGTGGCCTTTCCCACCCATGTCGGCAGATTCCTCACACAGTTCGTCACCTCATGGAGAACACCGCCTTGGGCCCAGTGGCCATGTTCGCATGTGGCCGTCCCACCCCATTCAGCATACCCGCCACACGCTTCATGGCCCCACAAGGAGCCCCACATAGGGCGCCAGTGGCCAAGTTCGCATCTGGCCACACCACCCATGCCGGCACACACCTCGCACGTTCCGTAATCCCATACGGAACTCCACGTAAGGTCCCAGTGGCCATGTTCGCATGTAGCCGCCCCCCCATGTCGGCACACCCCTCACACGCTTCATGGCTCCATAGGGAGCTCCACTTGAGGCTCCAGTGGCGTCCTTCGCATATGGGCGTCACGTCTGTTTCGGTCCACTCCTCACTCGTTTCGTGACCCATATGGGGGATCACCATATGGCCCCAGCAGCGACGCTCGCATGTGGGCGCCACTCTCGTTTCGGCACGCTCTTCACGCGCCTCGTAGCCCCATTGGGAGCTCCACCTCTGAGGCCCTGGTGGCCGTGTTCACATGTGGCCGCCTTACCCTTACCCATATCGGCACACGGTGGTGCCAAAAAGGGAGCTCTATTTGAGGCCCCAGTGGCAGCGCCCGCGTGGCGGCCTCGCTCCATTTCGGCACACTGTTTCACGCTTCGGGGCCCCATGAGGAGATCGACCGAAGCCGATACCCACAGCGACGGTACTCACAACTGCACATGGTTGGGTCCTTCGCCAGGATGATTCAACAACACGGAGAAAAAACAGGGAAAGGGCCAACAACTCTTGCCAACAGAAAAATAACCGCCGGAGGTCCCCAGACCTCCGATGTCATGTCTTTGCCAAGGGAAAAGAGCGAGAGAAGGGAGGGTCAACAGGAGACCAGAGCGCAAACGCGGAAATGCAAGCTCCGACCTCCGACTAAGGCTGAAACTTTATGTAGAGGCCTCCTAGATGGAGTCCAAGTAGATGGGGTCGAAGGATCGCGCCGCATCGCCAATGCATCGCAGATGTATCGCAGATGTATCGGCGATGCGTCGGCGACGTTGGCGTCGGGAAGCACGGGCTCCACATCGAGCCGCATCGCCGATGCATCGGCGATGCGGCGCGATCCTCCGACCCCATCTACTTGGACCCCATCTAGACTATGCCCCTTATGCGGCTATTATATGTATGTATGTATGTACGTATGTATGTATGTACGTATGTATGTATGTATAATACTATATGTGTATGTATGTATGTGTATGTATGCATGTATGTATGCATGCATGTATGTATGCATGCATGTATGTATGTATGTAGGTATGCATGCATGCATGTATGTATGTATGTATGTGTGTATGAGAGATGACCCCCCCCCCTCCCCGGCAACCCCCCCCCCCTCCCCTAACCCCCCCCCTCCCCTTCGAAAACCGGGAGGGGTCACTACCGGTTCGAACCCCTCCTCCCCCCCCCGCCCCTCCTGATCCGGGAAACCGGGGGGGGTCACTACCGGCGGTTCGAACCCCCCCCCCCCCCTCGAAAACCGGAGGGGGGTCACTACCGGTTCGACCCCCCCCCCCACGCACCGCCAGCAAACGACTCCCGGTCCCTACCACCGTCCGTCCGCATCACATCCCCCACTGCTGTTCCCAGCACCACTGTCCTCACCACCACTGTCCCCACTGGTTCCACCACCGTCCCTACTGTCCCCACCAGTGCCCCCACCACTGTCGCACTGTCCCCACTGTCCCCACCACTGTTCCCACCACGGTTCCACTCTCCCCACTGTCTCCACGGCCACAACCACTGCCCGACTATCCCCACTGTCCCCACTGTCCCACTGACTCCTCCGCTGTCCCACTGAGCTGTCCCACTGTTCCCACCACTGTCCCCACTGTCCCCACCACTGTCCCCACTGTACCTCTGTCCCATTGTCCCACCGCCGTCCTCGCCACCGCCTTCACCACTGTCCCCACCACCATTGTACCCTCCACTGTCCCACTGTTTCCACCTCATTCCCACTGTCCCCACACCACTGTCCCCACCACCACCGTCCCCACTGTCCACTGTCCCCCCTGTTCCCACCATTGTCCCCACCACTGTCCCCACCACTACCGTCCCCACCACTGTCCCACTGTCCCACTGTCCCCACCACTGTCCCGCTGTCCCCTCACCACTGTCCCCACCAACACCGTCCCCACCACTGTCCGCACCCCCACTCGGTTTTCGAGGGGGGGGGGGGGTTCGAACCGGTAGTGACCCCCCCCCCTTTTCATGATGAATGGGGGGGAGGGGGGGGGGAGGGGTTCGAACCGGTAGTGACCCCCCCCGGTTTTCCGGAGGGGGGGGTGGGGGGGGAGGGGTTCGAACCGGTAGTGACCCCCCCCCCGGTTTTCCGCCAGCAGCGGTAGAACACGCTCCTTCGTATGTAGTTATGTATGTGTTGCATTGTATTGTATTGCATTGCATTGTATTGTATGTTATTGTATTGTATTGTATTGTATTGTATTGTGTTGGATTGGATTGTATTGTATTGTATTGTATTGTATTGTATTGTATTGTATTGTATTGTATTGTATTGTATTGTATTGTATTCTAGTGTATTGTGTTGTGTTATATTGTATTGTATTGTAATGTATTGTGTTGCACTGTATTGGTTTGCATTGTATTGTATTGTATGCATGCATGCATTCATGCATGCATGTCTGCCTGTCTGTCTGTATGTACAAGTATATGCATGTGTGTATATGTATGTATGTATGTATGTATGTATGTATGTATGTGTATATGTATATATATATAGATATATATACATATATATATATATATATATATATATATGTGCGCAGTCGTGCTGACACCAGAGGCGAAGACACATCGGCATGACACGAGGCTTCGGAGGTCCGCGCGGATGCCCTGGATCGGCGCCGGACCCCCCTTGGAGCGCGGAGCGCGCAGTTGCCGGCGCTGGAGGCGCCGCTAGTGGGACCCAGCGCCGATCCAAAAAACCCGCGCGAACCTCCGAAAATTGATGTTTATAAGCATTCGCCGGGAAACAGAAGACTCGGGTTCGGGGGACTCGGGTTGGCCTGACGGGCCCTCCAGAAAATGACGAGACCCAATCCGAAACTTGACGCGAACCGCCATTGTCTTGCCCGAGGACAGGCGGTGGGGGGAGGAAATGGTGGCGGGAATAGGCTGCAGAGGTACAGCGGCGCTCGTGCTTGGCGAGCGTGTGGCCGTTCTGTGTGATATCGGGGATGCTGTCATAGCAGTGCGCGAGGGGGAGAGGGGGAGGCGGAGGAGAAAGGAGGGCGGAGGACCGCAGGCCTTCGTCCGCGCTTGTTTGGCCACGGCGAAGGACTTCTCGGCCATGGTCGGGCCTCGCCTGGCAGACTTCTCGAGCTGCTGCTCCTGGCGAAGGGCCAAAGCCTCCTCCGCGATCTCCTCACTCCGACTCCAGTGCGGCCAGGCAGCCTCCAGACCCCTGGGGGCAGGAGTGACTCGCCGGCCCAACGGGCCAAGGGCGTGCTAAGATCTCCGGTAACTGGGTAACAATATCTCTAGTTCGCGCGCGCGGGGCCGCCCCTGGGGGCCCCGGACGAAAATAACCCCGGCAAGGTCCCAGGCAAGTCCCGGCAATGTCCCGGGCAGGTCCCGTCCCAGCAAGCTCCCAAGAGCGCTCCAGGAGCGCTTCAAGTGGCCTCCAAGAGAGCTCAACATGGTCCGAGACGGTCCAAGAGCGATCCAAGACGTCAAAGATGGCCTCCAGACAGCCCGAAGTGCCTTCCAGACGCCCCAAGAGGCCTCCAAGAGACCTCCCAAGAGGGCCCACAGAGGCAGAAATTAATTATGTTCCTTTAGTTTTTGCAGGTGTTTGGCGTTCTCGCCTTTTAAGGCTGAAAGGCGCTCCAAGACGTCCCAAGAGGCTTCCAGGATCGCCCCAACACTGCCCAAGAGGCCTCAGAGGCCTCCAAGATGGCCGAAGAGGCTCCCCAGACGGCTCCAGGAGCGGGCCCAGACGAGGGACCCGAACGAACATTTCGAGCTCTAGGCGACGAGAGGTCCCCCAGAGGCCCCAAGAGGCCCCCGAGAGGCCCAAAGAGACCCCCAAGATGCCTGCCCGCTGTTTTACCTCGCCCGAAAGGGGTCCGCGAGCACCTGTGCGCACCTCTCCCGGGCAGCTGCGGTCGCGGGGCGGCCACGACGCTCCGCCACGGGGCGCGCGGGGGGGGGGGGGGATGGAGGGAGGGGAGGGGAGGAGGGAGGAAGGGAGGAGGGAGGAGGGATGGAGCGGGGGAGGGATGGAGGGGAGGAGGGAGGGACGGGGGAGGGAGGGAGGGGGGATGGAAGGAGGGAGGGAGGAGGGAGGGAGGGAGGGAGGGCGAGGAGGGCGAGGCGGAGCGATTACCCCGCCGTGAGCAAGAAAGAGCTTGGCCCTGCCGACTCTCGTCCTCGAACTTCTCGCCTCTCCGTCCCCTCCCCTCGAAACCCCTCCCCGCTCATGTCCTTCACATCCCCTGGCTGGCTCTCCCCGTCCCCCATACTCCCCAATCTGCCCTTCTCTTCTCTTCGCTCCCTCCACCTTGGCTCCCGTTCCCCTCAGCTTCCATTCCCTTCTCTTCTCTTCTCTTCTCTTCTCTTCTCTTCTCTTCTCTTCTCTTCTCTTCTCCTCCTCTCAATAGGCGCCCCTTCTCTTTTTTCCCCCTCCGCTCCCATTCCCCATCGCTCGCCTCCACCTTGGCTGGCGCTGAAAACGCACAGGACACGCTTACTGTTACGGGCCATGCTTCTGCTTCACTTTAGGAGGGCTGGCAAAGTTGTGAACATGCCTGATGTGATTATGTTTGCGTTCTCTGACTGCCACCTGTGCAAAGTCGCCATTGTTTGCTGCTTAGTACACGCTCCTCCGCATTCATTCCCTTCCTAAAGATGCAGGAGCCTGCCAGCTGAATGTTTCCAGCGCTTGGCTCGATGCAGCAATTTCACAACGGGGCGATTGCCGGGACACACCAGCCACCGCAAAACTTCGACTGGTGCAACGTACAACGCTGAGAAGCGCCAAGAAACGCGTCCGAAGGGGCCTAGAGTCCCACTGGCCCCTCCCCGGGGATAGTCAGGACGCGCTTGAAAACACAAGAAAAACACAGCCCCTCTTTGAGCATCGACAGCTCTCTGAGCTGAAACCTGATAGCGTCAACGAAAAAAGTGCTAACTGCTTCGTAGCCATGATCAAGGACTGAATGCGGTCACACAAATCCCGAGAGCGCTTTCAACGCATACCAATCGGGGGTACATAAAAGTGGGGTACGGGCAGATGTGGGGTTATGTGGAAATCGCCCTAGACGCGTCCTGGGATAAGAACATGTGAGCATCCAGCTGGGCCCGTTCCCTAGCCCACCTCGGGAGACCTCCCGCATCTACAAATTCCCGAACCTTCAAGCCTTCAATTCCGCTACCCAACCTCCTCCAGACTCAGATTCGTTCTCCTCCCCGATTCCTGCCCCTCACCCTGACTTTCGTCGTACTCAAGCCTCCCTCCACTCCCCAACCCTACCCCTGCCCCTCTCCTTTTCCGGCTCCTTCCTCTAGTGGCCCATCCATTGAGATGCTCGCCTGCTTTCTTCCTCCCACCGCAACCCACCCACCCGATCGCCTGCGCATATTCCTCCTCTTCCTGCCGTCCCGCCCTCCTTCCTCTCGAACCTCCTGCCTACCTCATCCCGACTCCCACCTCCCACCTCCTTCCACCTCCTCCTCCTCCTGAGCCTGTCGCTTCTCGTGCTCCTCCTGTTCTTTTTTCCTCACCCTCATCATAATCATCATCATCATCATCATCATCATCATCATCATCATCATCATCATCATCATCATCATCATCATCATCATCAGCATCAACAGCAGCAACAGCAACAACATAATCATCATCATCATCATCATCATCATCATCATCATTATCATCATCAACAACAACAGCATCATCATAATCCACATCATAAGCATGAGCGTGATCATGATCATCACGATGATCATCATGGTCGTCATCATCATCATGGTCATCATCACCACTATCATCAGCATCGTCGTCACCATTGTCTTCATCATCATCACCATCACCATCACCACCACCAACAACAACATTACCATTGCCATCATCAGCACCATCATCACCATCAGCATTATAATCATCATCATTGAGAAGCGATTGGTATCTATAACTCCTCCGTCGGGGCGATCCTGGACATTGCTTTTGAGTTGGTTTTGGGCTGCTGGCAAAAATGCTAGAAAATTGCTGAGAAGGCCAAAGAGAGAGAGAGAGAGAGAGAGAGAGAGGGACAAACAAACAAACAAAAAACACGCCATTCTCGGCGACCTCCTCCTGCTGCGGCGTTCGCCCCCCGCCCTCCTTTTTTTCGGCGTTGGCCACGCAGGAGCATCTCGGCTGTTGCGTTCTACCAGTAGCGCTGCGCCTGCGTGGCGCAAGAAGCGCAGCAATGCCGACTTAGGTCTCTGTAGACCAGCACATTGCGGCTAGCGGGCGTATATAGCAGAGAACAGCAAGGCGCAAGAGGTACCGCTTCATCGCCATCCTCGGCACCCTCCAACACAGCACGGCAGGAGACCGAAGCTTCGTGCTGGAGCTGCTGCTGCTGCAGCTCCACGCCGCTCCAGGTGCAACGGAGGAGGGGGGAAGGAGGAGAGAGGGAGCAAAGACAGAGATGAAGGCCTAACCCAGCTCCAACCGCAGCTTCATCATGGCGCGATGGTCTTCTTGAAACTTTGCAAGAGTTTCACGGGTTCCCATCATCAAGGATTCAGGATTATGGGGGTGCAACAGTTAAGTTGGTTCGCTGGTTTGAAGTCCCAAGAATGGCGTTCTGGCACGATTCAGGATCGTCAAGACGCAACAGTCAGGTTCATCCGTTTTTGCATGCTTCAGTGTCTTCAAACGGATGTTTTCAAACAAGGCAATTCCCGCAATGGAAATGACCGTTGCAGGGGCCTATGAATAGGGAGCTTGGAGAGGGTTTATTCCAACATCGTTGATGACTCTTGGGCCACTTGGGTTTACACTGGTTCTCATCCTCATCCTCATCCTCATCAGCCTCATCCTCAAGAATCCTCGTCCTCATCCTCATCATCAGCATCATCAGTTTCATTATCAACATCATCATATTCATGGTCGTCATCAGCATCAGCATCAGCATCAGCATCATCATCCTTATCAGCATCGGCATACATATCATCAGCAGCAGCAGCATCATCCTCATCATGACCATGACCATGACCATGACCATGACCATGACCATGACCATGACCATGACAATGACCATCATCAGCGGCAGCAACATCACCACAACAACAGCGTAATCACTCTTCCTCCGCATCCTCAACCACATTCCTTTCCTCATTCGTCCGTCCTGTGGCAGACACACTACAGCATATGACCATAAAAACGCGTCCCCTCCACCTCGTCATCCGCCCCACCCCCTCCTCTCCGCCCCCGTCCCCTCCACATCATCATCGCTCCCACACGGCCCTCCGACATCCTTCTCCCTTTACGTATGTCTTCCTCGCTCTCCATCTCCTCCTTCCCCTCCTCCTCCTCCTCATCATCATCAGACGACGGCGGCGACATAGCCACACTCGCGCGCCAAAGCAATTGCCGGCTGGTCGAGACATGGGTGCCGCAGGCGGGGCGTCCGGTCCTCCTCCTCCTGCTTCCTCGCCAACTCCTTGAGCTGCTCCAGCTCCTCCTGGTGCTTGGACTTCCTCCCGGCGCGGCTGCTTTTGTTGTCACCCGTGCCGAAAGCAATCCGACAAGAGAGAGAGAGACTCAGCGAGGTCCGCTCATTCGGAGGAGAAGAGAGGCGGCTACAGAGAGAGGGAAGGAGCCAGTTCAAAGCCGCTGTGCTTGGCCAGCTTTCGGCAACTGAGGTCCAAGACGCCCAAGATGCCACCAAGACGGCTGAAGAGGCCTTCAAGACATTCCAGGAGGGCGCCAAAAAGACCCCAGCGACGGCCCCCAATGGCAAAGCACATTGACTTCATGGATGCTTTCAAATTATGTTTGCGATTCGAAATTTTGGATCGTCCAACGCTCCAAGACGGTACAGGGGGCCCCCAAGACTGCCCCAAGACAGCCTAAGGGGCCAAGGAGGGCCTCAAAACGGCCCCAGAGGGTGGTGCGCGAACTGACATGTCGAGCCCTCGGCCCCGAGAGGTCCCCAAGAAGTCCCCAAGAGGCCTCCGAGAGGCACATCAAGAGACCCTTGTATTCATTCAAAAGGCCTCTGGTCCAGGACCCGAAAACCACTAGACAGAGGTGGCAGAGTGTTCTGTCTCTTCGCCAGTCTGGGGTAATCGTCGGCTTGCCTTCGTGTGCTCCTCGGCTCCCTCGCGGCTTTCCCAGGGTCTCCTGATCCGCCTTCTAAGTCTGCAGAGCTGGCTGTGAGGCCTCTCCAATAGATTACACCACGTAGCCAGCCCCACATAGCTTACACCACATGTGTATTTGTATGTGCATGTATATATATATATATATAAATAAATAAATGTATGCATGTATGTGTGTGTGTTGCACCATCAGAACATTGCCCTTCACCACATAGTCTGCATTACATCGATTACCTCAAGAGCGCAAATACGGTTTCGGTGCCACGCTGGCACACACATATGGCGACGTCTTGTTTGTTCTGTCACTTTCTGTTGGTCCCCAACTTCCCCCCGCACCGGGGGCACCCCAAGCAACCACTCCGTCAATGGCGCCTTCAAGCGTGGCGCACTTACACCCGGGTCACCTCAAGTCAGGGCATCTCGGAGCCAGGGATTCCGAGGATGTCTCAGGCGAAACGGGCCTGAGCACCTCGCGGACCATGTCTTGGAACCCAGTTGTGCGGACGTCTCAAGCGAAACGGGCCAGAGCAGCTCAATTAAGGGCACCTCGCAGTAACCCAGGGTTCGGAGGATGGCTCAGGCAAAACAGGGCTGAGTACCTCGCGATGGAACCCAAAATTGTGAGGATGTCTCAAGCGAAACGGACCAGAGCACCTCGCGAGCCGCAAACCCACAGGTGTGAGTTGCGAGGATGTCTCAAGCCAAGCGGGCTAGAGAACCTCAAGTCAGGGCACCTCGGAGCCCGAGGTTCCGAGGATGTCTCAAGCGAAACGAGCCTGAGCACCTCGTGCACCGCATCTTCAACCCAGAGTTGCGAGGACGTCTCAAGCCGAACGGTCAGAGCCACGGATTCCGAGAATGTCTCAGGCGAAACGTGCCTGAGTACCTCGCGAACCACATCTTGGAACCAAGAGTCGTGATGATGTCTCAGGCGAAACGGGCCAGAACACCTCAATTCAAGGCATCTCGAAGCCTGGGGTTCTGATGATGTCTCAGGCGAACAACGTAATGAGGATGTCACAAATGAAACAGGACTGAGCATCTCAAAACAGGGCATCTCGGAAGCCGGGATTGCGATGATGTCTCAAGCGAAACGGGCCTGAGCACCTCGTGAACCGCACCTTCAACCCAGAGTTGCGAGGACGTCTCAAGCCGAACGGTCAGAGCCAGGGATACCGAGGTTGTCTCATGCGAATCGTGCCTGAGTACTTCGCGAACCACATCTTGGAACCAAGAGTCGTGATGATGTCTCAGGCGAAACGGGCCAGAACACCTCAATTCAAGGCATCTCGAAGCCTGGGGTTCTGATGATGTCTCAGGCGAACAACGTAATGAGGATGTCACAAATGAAACAGGACTGAGCATCTCAAAACAGGGCATCTCGGAAGCCGGGATTGCGATGATGTCTCAAGCGAAACGGGCCTGAGCACCTCGTGAACCGCACCTTCAACCCAGAGTTGCGAGGACGTCTCAAGCCGAACGGTCAGAGCCAGGGATACCGAGGTTGTCTCATGCGAATCGTGCCTGAGTACTTCGCGAACCACAGCTTGGACCCCAGTGGTGAGGACGTCTCAAGCGAAACGGGCCAGAGCACCTCAATTCAGAGCATCTCGAAGCCTGTGGTTCCGAGGATGTCTCAGGCAAAACAGGCACGAGTACCTCGCGAACCACATCTTGGAATCCAGATTTGTGAGGACGTCTCAAGCGAGACGAGCCAGAGGACATCTAGTCAGGGCATCTTGGAGCCCGATGTTGCGAGGATGGCTTTCTGTAGGCCATCCCATCCCCGGCACCTCCCCGGCACCGCCGTTGGGGTTGCAGGGGTCGCCCGAATCTGTCCCGGGCGACACGGGCTCTGGGGCTCAGGTGCACTGTCCCCCTCGCCAGCCAAGGCAAGTCCTGGATGGGGCCCAAACAGTCCTAAAAAGCCAACCGAAGTGGCCAGCGAGGACCATGCGGCTCCGAAACACTCCTCCACCCCGTAAATCTAACGGACCATTCGAGACATCCTCACAATCTGGGCGCGAACGGGCCAGTGACACACCCTCCGTCGGCAGAGCACCAGCCCGCATCACCAGGCATGATCGAGCCTCGTCCTGGCGCCTTTGGTAGAACTCCCTATGGGGCCACGAAGCGTGCGAGGGGGGTGCCGAAGTGGGCAAGGGGACGCATGCGAACCCTGCCACTGGAGCATTCGGCGGAGCTCCCTATGGGGCCAAGCAGCGTGTGAGGGGTGTGCCGAATTGGGCGGGGGGACGCACGCGAACCCCGCCACGGGGGCCTTCGGTGGAGCTCCCTATGGGGCCACGTACCGTGTGAGGGGTATGCCGAAATGGGCGGGGTTAACGAATGCAACCGCTGCCACGGGGGCCTTCGGTGGAGCTCCCTATGGTTCCACGAACTGTGTGAGGGGTACGCCGAAATGGGCGGGGATAACGAATGCAACCGCTGCCACGGGCTGCCTTCGGCGGAGCTCCCGATGGGGCCACGAAGCGTGTGAGGGGTGTGCCGAAGTGGGCGGGGGGGCGCACGCGAACCCCGCCACTGGGGCCTTCGGTGGAGCTCCATATGGGGCCACGAACCGTGTGAGGGGTACGCCGAAATGGGCGGGGTTAACGAATGCAACCGCTGCCACGGGGGCCTTCGGCGGAGCTCCCTATGGGGTCACGAAGCGTGTGAGGGGTGTGCCGAATTGGGCGGGGGGGCGCACGCGAACCCCGCCACTGGGGCCTTCGGTGGAGCTCCCTATGGGGCCACGAACCGTGTGAGGGGTATGCCGAAATGGGCAGGGTTAATGAATGCAACCGCTGCCACGGGGGCCTTCGGTGGAGCTCCCTATGGGGCCACGAACCGTGTGAGGAGTACGCCGAAATGGGCGGGTTTAACGAATGCAACCGCTGCCACGGGGGCCTTCGGCGGAGCTCCCTATGGGGCCACGAAGCGTGTGAGGGGTGTGCCGAATTGGGCGGGGGGGCGCACGCGAACCCCGCCACTGGGGCCTTCGGTGGAACTCCCTATGGGGCCACGAACCGTGTGAGGGGTATGCCGAAATGGGCGGGGTTAACAAATGCAGCCGCTGCCACGGGGGCCTTCGGTGGAGCTCCGTATGGGGTCACGAAGCGTGTGAAGGGTGTGCCGAATTGGTCGTGGGGACGCACGCGAACCCCGCCACTGGGGCCTTCGGCGGAGCTCCCTATGGGGCCACGAACCGTGAGAAGGGTAAGCCGAAATGGGCGGGGTCAACGAATGCAACCGCTGCCACGGGGGCCTTCGGTGGAGCTCCCTATGGGGCCACGAACCAACCGAGTGAGGGGTACGCCGAAATGGGCGGGGTTAAGGAATGCAGCCACTGCCACGGGGGCCTTCGGCGGAGCTCCCTATGGAGCCACGAAGCGTGTGAGGGATGTGCCGAACTGGGCGGGGGGGCGCACTCGAACCCCGCCACTGGGGCCTTCGGTGGAGCTCCCTGTGGGACCACGAAGCGTGTGAGGGGTTCGCCGAAATGGGCGAGGGAACGCATGCGAACCCTGTCACTGGGGCCTTCGGCGGAGCTCCCTATGGGGTCACGAAGCGTGTGAGGGATGTGCCGAATTGGGCGGGGGGGCGCACTCGAACCCCGCCACTGGGGCCTTCGGTGGAACTCCATATGGGGCCGCGAACCGTGTGAGGGGTATGCCGAAATGGGCGGGGTTAACGAATGCAACCGCTGCCACGGTGGCCTTCGGCAGAGCTCCCTATGGGGTCACGAAGCGTGTGAAGGTGTGCCGAATTGGGGGGGGGGACGCACACGAACCCCGCCACTGGGGCCTTCGGTGGAACTCCCTATGGGGCTACGAACCGTGTGAGGGGTACGCCGAAATGGCAAAATTACCGAATGCAACCGCTGTCACGGGGGCCTTCGGCGGAGCTCCCGATGGGGCCACGAACCGTGTGAGAGGTGTGCCGAAATGGGCGGGGGGACGCATGCGAACCCTGCCACGGGTGCCTTCGGTGGAGCTCCCTACGGGGCCACGACGCGTGTGAGGGGTGTGCCGAAGTGGGCGGGGGGACGCATGCGAACCCTGCCACTGGGGCCTTCGGTGGAGCTCCCTACGGGACCACGAAGCGTGTGAGGGGTTCGCCGAAATGGGCGAGGGAACGCATGCGAACCCTGCCACTGGGGCCTTCGGTGGAGCTCCCTATGGGGTCACGAAGCGTGTGAGGGGTGTGCCGAATTGGGCGGGGGGACGCACGCGAACCCCGCCACTGTGGCCTTCGGTGGAACTCTCTATGGGGCCACGAACCGTGAGAAGGGTATGCCGAAATGGGCGGGGTTAACGAATGCAACCGCTGCCACGGGGGCCTTCGGTGGAACTCCCTATGGGGCCACGAACCGT